ATAAATCTCTCTGTTTCATGGTGACCGGTATTATGGGATTGTGGATTAGTGGGGGCCCAATTACCTTTGACTCCTTATATAGAATAACTTTCAATCCCAATGGAACAGGTACAAGAGTTTCTTTTGGGGATGTGTGCTTCATAGAAGTCATGGATCAAAGAGATCCCTTGATAGATAACCTGACACCACCCCCAATTCGACTATTAAATGTGCAATTTTTGTTATCATCATGACCTCAACTAAAGAACAGACATGTCCAGGCTATTGGGAAACTGCCCCATTATGGCAGCAGCAGGATCATCAATTAATGTGAGGCGAAAAAAACCTAAATTGTATTTCTGGAACAGATCTTATTGTTTTCACCCAGGCCTTAAAAATTCTAAGGAATTTATATTCTTATTCATAGTACTTATAGGGCTAGCACATAAACAAGGCTTAGAAATCTGAAAGAGAAATGTAGGACTTTTTCTTTTAGAATGTGCATGGATAAGCCTATAGTACGTTGTGTTTTGACAGCCTACAGCAAGAAGTGGGGTGATGCTGATAATTTTTGCTGAGACGCTACCAAGTAGCAGAAAGGGTAAAAGGATTCTGATCAGGTGAGAGGAGCAGTAAATTAATACCAATGACATTGACCAGACTGCAAATTACATTGATTATTTTAATTTTCTCTCTCTGACACTCAGTTAAACACCCATTGTTCTAGGTTTAAGATAAGCAAAAGGTTATTTTCCTTAAAAAAACAAGACAATTGCCATGCAAGAGGGGATCCAGTGATATGTTATAGTTATGAAGTAAAACTGGAGATGCTGAAGAAGAAAACTGTGATTGTGAGTGAGTGAGAGAAGCAGAGAAAGAGCATGTGCATACACACACAAGGATGTGAGACAATGAGAGACAGTGTGTATATAGGTTTGTGAAGATAGTTTGTGTTCTTGTGTGTTTAAGGGAGTAGACTAGCAAGCAGTGAATTTAAATTAAAAAAAAAGACAAATGTTCTGTTCTCACTGATTAGATGTTCTAACCTTGACAAAAGCTTGTGTGAAATTAAAAAAAGTCATGACAATGTGTGTTAGGAGGAAATTAAGTGAAAGCTTAAGGGAGAATGATGAGATGCAATAGGTTTGCCTTTCTGTTGATCCCTTCCACTAAATTACCATTGCCTTCATCTAACAGGGATACTTGGCCTGTTTATGCACACAGTCTACTGATGTTTTTCCTCCAGACAATAATTATGAATAGCAAAACCTGTATTGCAAACTGGCTATTCAGCAGTTAAGCTTACAGTTGCTAAAGTTATAATGGGGGCACATATCCGTACAGCATACTGTGGAGAATGGAGACTTTCAAGTGGAGAAATTCTAGCCAAGGGCTAAATTCCTCTTTCATTTACACTGGTGCAAGTCTGGACTGACTAGATTTAAGTCAATGGAGTTATGTTGAATTTACCCCTCCATGGGAACCGAACTTGGCCCTCAGATAGTATTTCTCCGTTGTCCACTGTATATACTGTAGGAGATGTCCCTAGCTACTGTACTTTAGCTGCTGAATAGCCAGTTTCCAAGACGGGGTTTGAAACTGGTATAAAAGTGAGAGGTGAATCAAGCTCAGAGACTTTCCTTCTCAGACTGTTGAGATCAAGGATGTATTTTTATTCTACTGACAGATTACCAGGTTACCCATTCCACTTTGCTGCTGCCACTACCATACAATGGTCAAATGGATTTCTGCAGCATGCAATGAGGTCTTCACTGATAAATCTAGGCACAAAAATGTTCAAGAGGTGGGGTGACCCACTGGAGCAGGGGCAATGGATATTCTGTTATCACAACAACATCCCTCTGTCAGAGCTGGCATCGCACAGTGCTGAATCCAGAATGGCACTTTCCCATTTTATACACTGAGAAACTGAATCAGAGGAATTAAGGACTAGATTTTCAAAGGTATCCACTAGTTGTGTGCACCTCAGTATTTGGGCCCCCAATTTTAGAAATATCAAATACAATTTTAAGCATTGTCAAACACGTGCAACTCTCATTGACTTCATCAGCTGGTGTAGGATGTTCAGCTTTTCTAAAAATCAGGCCCCATATGTCTCAAGCTGGATATCCAAGAAAACAGAGGTACTCAACACTAGTGGACATTTTTGAAAATCTAGAACTAAGTGATATGTGCGAGGGTCCACAACTGGCCAGTGGCAGAATAGATTTAGTATGATACTTTGGTACATATGGGGTTAGAAACAAGAGCAGACCATATATAGAAACATAAGCTTCTACTGCAGGGGTCGGCAACGTTTGGCACGTGGCTCGCCAGGGTAAGCACCCTAGCGGGCCGGGGCAGTTTATTTACCTGCTGAAGCGGCAGGTTCGGCTGATTGCGGCCTCCACTCGCCACGGTTCGCCGTCCCGGGCCAATGGGGGTGGCGGGAAGTGGCGCGGGCGAGGGATATGCCAACCCCTGTTCTACTGAAACCTCTAATGAGGCATTTGCAAGTGGAGAAAAAAAAGGAATATCAGTTTAATGCATTTCAAACCACTTCACACCTTTCAGGTTTAAACATTGGCTCAAGGCTTTTGGATAGGTCTCCTGCAGCAGCTGCCCGCTATTTTCCTCTACCCCCAACCCCACTGTCATCCCACTCCGAGTGCAGTGCATGATTTACTGGATCCGACCTGTCTAAATGATGAAACTGAGAAAGCTTTTACCAAGTATGCATATCAGAGAAATGCAAGTATTATGTACATTGTACTGAATGTGTTTTATCCAGCCAAATACAGCAAGGCCATTCATTTGAATACCAAGTACAGAGATCTTTAAAAATCCACAAGATGAAAAACAAATCAGAATACCAGCAACGCAAAAAAACAAATCTTTTTCAGAAGGCTTTGAAGAAACGAGTGGGTTTTTGAAAGCTGATTCAAAGTCCAGCATGAACAGGATCTATTAGATTGTGGAATAATATCCTGAGGAAAGTGGTAGAAACCCCATTGTTTAAAAGTAGTTGGAAAATAAACACCAGAAAATATATTAGAGGAATCAGCATTGCACTGGCCTGATAATAGTGTAGGTAGAACGTGAAAGGTCTTTTTTATATCCTAAATATTATAGGTGAAATGCTGGCCCTCTAAGTCAATTGGAGTTTTGCCATTGATTTAAATTAGTCCAGGATGTCACCTTATGATCTAAGGATTCTAATTTCCACTTCTCTCCAACCTACTTTTAAGAAAAAGAAAATGTATGTTTACAGACTAAAATATTACAGTGTTTTGTATAACTGTTTTGGAGGAGCATTCTGAAGATGCAGATGCTGGCATATTTATCACCTATTAGAGATGTTTGCAATGAGATCTGGACATCCTACAAGGATTAAACAGCAAAAGGGGCTTTGTGGGCATCTCCTTGCAAAGCGAGACATAAGAGTTCACTTTGGCATTATTAGGAGATGATACATGATATTACAGAAGTTCCCATGACATTCCCATGATATTACAGAAGTTCATGCTTCGAGGATAGTGGCCTTTTCTAGTTACATGTGGAAACATGCCATGCAAAAATCCCATACATCATACACTCTGCTGGCTGGAAAGATTGATAATGGGCCACATTTTTTAAGGCCTCTTAGTGGTTTGTTTACACTACAAAAAATACAACTCTGCTTTTAACACAGGTTAGTAGCTTGAGTTAAAGCCTTTAAGGGAGTTTGGGGTTGAACTTGAGCTGCCAGCCTGAATTAAAAGCCAAGTTGCCATGTCTTCATTGTTATTTTAACCTGGATTAGCTAACCCAAAAGAACACTTTTTTTTTGCAGTGTAGATGTATCATTGGATGCACACGCCATACTTGCACACTAAAATGGGTGGAATTGCAAAATCCCTCGATAGGCCTTGCGTGCATAAAATATGTGATTTACATATGAAAATGTAGATTTTTCACATGACAATGCTTGTGCTTCAGCTATGTCAGGGCATTTTCAGTGGCACATTGACTGTGAGGTTGAAAATTCGACAATTACAGGTTTACCGTTTTAAGGTTTCCAGTTTATTCTACAGAATAAGATTTCATTTCTCAGTACTTAATCTCCTAACTAAGATCTTTTCATTCCACTGGACTGTCAACTGAGTTGTACAGGTGACATCAACAAGGCTCACACATTTATACAAATAAAAGACACAGGGCCAGACCCTCAGGTGACATAATTTGGCACAGCCTCCAGTGACTTCAATGGAGCGATGCAGATTTACACCAGCGGGGGATCTGGCCTAAGGCTCTATGAATCCTTTTATGAACTAGAGGTTCCTGCATCTTTCTGTTCTAATGTAGGATTTAAAAGGTGTTGAATATTTGCTCTTAGTTACACATGAAAAAGAAATATAAACTAGTCAGCTCTGCACTCTTCTTGTTAAATTTTTCACAAGGAATGAGTACTTCTATCAAACAATTCCCAAACAACCTTTTCCCTAGTTCATTTCTGCTCAAGTCTAAGCTCTGTGTGACTGTCCACCATGAGGTCTGTCTGGACAAAAGACTTCTCATTTTTGCCCTGTTTCTGACTCCTCCCCCCAAGTATGATGACTCATAGTGAATACTAGACAAAGGGACTGATTATAAAACAAATACCTACATTTTGTAAAGTAAGACATTTGCAGTGCTTAATTAATTTTGCCTTTCCTTCCAATGGTTCCAGCTTAGGCCAGGAAAGTGGGAACTTCTGCATATTAAAAGCCCATTCTAGTGGATAGTGAAAATTTACTGCAAGATAATATTTTGTCAGTATCAGTCATTTCTGACCCTAACTTTTTCCAAGGAAGAAACAACAGGACTGTGATTGGGAGCTCACTTACTACACAGTTTTCTAGCAGTGTAACTCTATTGACTTCGGGTTGATTTATTTTACTGGTGTGAGATCAGAATCCAACCCAGTTTGCTTAATTTAATTCTAGGTCTTTTCAGTTGCAAATGGAACAGATTTTTATTTAAACCCCCAAGTAAGAGTGTCATTATCCACAAATCTGCTCATAAAATGTTTTGGCAACTGAAAAAACAAAACAAAAACAAAAAAAACAAAACACACCAGCAGAGGAAGCCATTAGGATGAAAACATTTCAAATCATGTCATTCATCAACATCTCTGCTCGACCAACAAATTTGCCTTTGGTACAGGCAATTGTGATAGTTATTCTCTGTACTTTTCAGCAACACATTTTTCTGATTAAAAATAGGAGAATACTGGCAATAGTTATAGATGGAAAAGACCTATTAGTTCTTCAAATCCACCTCCCTTCCAAGGCAGGATATTATCTCTGGCAGAGGATATATCAGATACTAAACTGTTCCCACACTAGGTTTTAGCCAAAAGTCTGAATAGAAAGATCCTTGTGGAGGTGTCACAATATTTTACTTAGGAAAAAAAAGCAGCCATTTTGGCACTTTTTAAAAATCATGCTTATAATCTTGTGACCTAAGTAATCAAAGGCTTTATGGGTCTAGTTTAGTATAATTTTCACAGAAGTGCTAGAGACATGCAGTTGTTGCCAACCTGAGTAGTTTCGTTTCAGATAACGTTTTCCTGCCCCTCCCCAAAAAGATATATACATATAGAGTGTCACAGTGTGTGGAGTGGCTCATGACCATGACTGCCTAGCTCAGGGCAGACTGTCAAAAACAGGGCAGATCCCTCCAAGTGGTGGTATGTTTGATAATTAGGTTTTACCAAGTCAGTAACAAATGGGAACTCCTGGATCATTATAATGGTCTTACCATGGAGTCAGACAGACAGACCCCTTAGACCAGTGCTTTTACTCTCCAGTCTATCTTGCCACCCAGACAAACTGGACTATGATAAATGGTCACTAACACAAAAATATCACACAATACTTCGGTTACTTCCCATCCCAAGAGGCCAGTCCTCGATCCCAGATCTTACACCAAAGACAGTGCCTATAACCAATCCTGTAATAAACTATCTAAAGGTTTATTAATTAGGAAAGAGAAATAAAAGATAGTTGTGTACAGGTTAAAGCAAGGAAACAGTTGAACAAATAAGCTGCAATCTAAACCCTAAGAGTGACAGAGTTATAGTGATCTATCAATTCAAAGCATCTTTCAGAGCGGACCCAGGAAGCAGCCACTGAGGATCACTAGATCTAGTTTGGTATGTCTGCTGTCCGAATTCTCACAGGGTCAAAGTGAAGATTTTTTTCATCTCATCAACTATTTTTATTTCCCTCTTCCAGCATTCAAAGCAATGGGACAAGGCCTCCTGCATGGGTGGGGCAACTAATAATGTTTTTTTCTTATAACGGACCATTTAAATATCGATAGTCCTCCTGGATGGGCAAGGGGTGGAAATGACAATTCTTGTCCCTGGGTTCACAACTTCAGAGCAAAACATTTTCAAAAGTTATAAAGCAAAATTTACATAATTTTCTTATAGCATGGAATACAGACATTACAAGTGAGATTAATGCATGCAGCAATTCATAAGCATTTCATAGAATCTAAACCAGGGGTGGCAAACTTTTTGGCCCGAGGGCCACATTGGGGTTGCAAAACTGTATGGAGGGCTGGGTAGGGAAGGCTCTGCCTCTCCAAACAGCCTGGCCCCCGCCCCCCATCTGACCCCTCCCCCTTCCCACCCCCTGACTGCCCCCCCTCAGAACCTCCCGACCCCATCCCA